CATGCCAGTTGGGAGCCGGCATGCGAAATGCTTCATGGCACGCAGCTTCACTAAGTAGTGTTTGCACGACGGCGGCAGGAATATTGTCCTTGTCCTTTCGCAATGGCGCAATGGTACATGACCACCTTCATAGTGTATCTGGTCAAATTTTGACCATGCAATGTTCCCACCCAACTCCTGTTGGAGGGAAAAACTGCTATAAAGTTGTTTTGCCTCATCTCTGAACCATAACATCACAGGAAGTTCGGGTGCTCTCCAGCCTCGCGGATGTTTCTTCTTCCCCTTTTTTCTGCTCCCTTTTTCTGCTCCCAGAAATTCCTCAAACCTCCCCAAAAAACCTCCGTCAGGTCCGCATTCGCGCTCAGCCACCCCTTTTCGGAAGATCTCCCAACTGGACTCCGCCCAGCTTTCGGAGCCAAAGATGTTCAGGTTCACCGACAAGAGCCTCATGGACCCAAAACGCGAAGCTCGACCGAAGCCGACGGAACCCCTGCGGAGTCCGCGTCTGGTGAAAGTGTCCATTGACTTGGCTGCTTCACCATTCTCAAGGGATGCTTTCTTGCACATCTTCCATATCTTCAATGTAACACACCCCTCCGCGGCATGAAAAGCGTGATGACCTAGGTTGTGGAAAGCATCACTTTCAAGTTCTGTGTAAATCAGGGCATTGGGAGCGCAAGTGGATCCCCTTGATGATCCGTGGGTTGTACGGCTTCAAAATGTCCGCCAAACTTGTGATCGTCGGGTACTCCAGGTGGAGAAGCAGATGAGAGGTTTGGTTCGCAAGTGGCACAGAAACGAGGATCTTGCAAAATGTGGACCGTTTCTACAAAAATTGCACCATGTTCTCAGGTCAGAACGAGGTGGGCAACAAGCATGACCCTGTGATTGTCTTCTAGACTTGGAACACACGCGGCATGTTGTCCCATTAGAAGAGGGGCGCAATTCTGAGAGAGAGAGAGAGAAAGTGTGTAGTCTACTGGGGCTGCGAGCTCGTCCCAAGCAGACCTGAACATTCTTGTTCAAACCTGTGCAAGGGGCATGCAGTGTTGCATTGCAATCATCTTATCTGCTTCTACCGTTGATCAAGTATTAGCCCCATTACATTTACAAGTAACAATTTATGCTTGAGAATTTCCCGCAAAAGTGGTGTGTTCTGCTGTCGAACTTCGGCTACAAAAGACGCCGAGCCTAAGAGGACAATGTCTGACTCAAAGTATCCAAAACGGACAGTTTCCAAGCAAACAAAGAAACGCACACACACCTAATGTCCAGTTTCCAAACTGCTTGTCTGAAGCCGTGGCAGTTGTGACGTGTCAGTTTTTCATTACGTTATCTGACAAATAACCGTATAACCGTCATCTGCACAAAAACTATTGAAAAAGAAAATGCACTGCACTGTTTGAACAGCTGTGCCCAGTGGCCGCTCACGTACTCCAGCAATGTGGTCGGGTGTGTTGTGCTCGTCCTTCCAGACACCGAGCTTCTCCTCAAGGAGAGAGGAACGCGAGGTACGAGGCACGTTGAACCAAACGAATCGAAAGGTAGGTGGTGTATAAAGCCATACGATTCCCCTCCATGTCTGATGCTCAACGTCATGGAGCAGGAAATGACTATGAGTCTGAGGGAAAGCAATGACGAGAACTCATCAACCTGCACCAAACTCACCCGCACAAACCCGAACTGAATCCGCCCTGGAGTGAGTCAGTGACGGATGATGACGGATGCAACCCCTCTGCCTTGAGTGTGCCAAGGTGCACTCAGATCCGTGAAGCTCTCCTAGACACCCAGCTCACTTGGAGGCCGAAAAGCCACACGCTTCCTGGGCGGTGCTTTCGCACCGGGCCCTTTCGCGCGACCGGCAAGCACCCCGGCAGGCCCGGCACGGTCAGAATCCAAGCTTCGCAGTATTGCTGGAAGTCCGATGCATTGATGACTCCATGTTCCACCAACCTGGACACGGAAGTTGGGTCGGCCAACCTCCATGGTCAACGACACTGGTCAAACGAATGGGATGGCGCAGTGTTTTCAGCATGCAACCCTCAAACGATTCACCTGGAGAGGGCGCATGCGGGAGGTTTGCTGCTCAAGAGAATGCTCAAGAGCCAACGATTCCCAACCGTCTGCTGCACAGCGGCTGTTCTTCCATCAGACTGTCCACATACTTCGCCTGCTTCACTTTGCCCAGGTACCTCGGCGGACGGCGACGGGCGACGCGAGAGTGCGAGCCGTTCCCGAAGGCCGCGGATCGGTGGGACTCGGCATGACTCGGCATGACATGGAATGACGACATGTCTTGCAAAGGGGCGGACGGTGAAGTAGATGGGTTGGAGAGGTTTTGAAGATACTGTCCAATCCCACTCTGGTGGTGCCTGAGAAGATTGAACAAACAAGCTTTCATGAGGAGACTAAATTTGTTCAATGTGTACTACAGGTTAATGGCATGTTGCCTCATAGCAATGAAGCGGAGGTTGGTCGTGCTTGCATCAAGATACGCTCCTCTTGGGTACAGAAAGACATCTGTGTGAAAAGCCTCCCCTTCCTGGTCAGCGAGGGCTTTCCACATGTGCCAAGATGCACCAGGGGGAAGCAGCCGGATGATGAGTTCAACGAATACTCCTCGCCAATACAGATCAATAAACCATGCCAAGAAGACCACGTCAGAGAGGCTGGGGAGATTCAGAGCAGCAAGCAGAGGCAAGACTTTCGGAGCATCATGTCAAGAAAACCTCGACACCATTGGACAAAAAATCAATTCACACACCCATGAGAACAGCCATAAAATAGATGCACCGCAAAATGCGAATGCTTGAAGGAGGACCTCCACGAGACCTTTAAACATAGTCATTGCGCAAATGGCAAGCCACCCAACACCCCGAAACTGGCCAAAAACAGGCAACCCTAGCCACTGATTCGTCCCAGTCTAAAGAAAAGCCCAGTCAGTTGGAGTCTCCTTCTGTTCGTGTCCATTCTTCACCTGGACTTTTCTGCTGCTCGAGCCAACCTTGGTCGGTGGCACCGGGACACCTGGACTTGACAGGGGGTCCCGTTTGGGAGGTCAACCGTAAGGGCCCCTCTGGGAGGAGGCCACAAATATATGGAGTCCACAGGAGTGTTGGGACGTCTGCTGACACGTCCGGTCGGTTCTTCCAGGTTCTAAGCCAGCGACAATGCGGCCGACGAACACCTCTGGATGATCCACCTCCCAAGACACGTCTGGCGTTGTTCGACCGGAACGGCTGTGTGAGGCGAACGGCCGAGACGAGACCCCGGCGTTTCGGACCTTCCATTTCAGGACCCGCACTTCGACCTTCTGAGGGCTGGGATGTCTTTCATCCTCCACCAAGAGCGATGTTTCGCACCAGAAATCCACCTGGAACTCACCTTCGGTGCTGCCTCTCCCGATTTCTACCCCCTTCGCGACGCCTCAGCTACCTCAGCAAATCCCGTGGGAGGAGGGCACACCTGAGGCACAAGCAGAGGTCGAGGCGGTCGGGAGGTCTAGGGAGTCGCTGTACCTCTAGTCCTTTTCATTGGAGTAGGCAGTATCCGGTGTTTCAGGGGGTTACAACAGGCAGAGGCAGTATCCTGTGTTTCAGGCATCTCCGCAGTTTCTGCGTGGTCTTTTTTTCTTAGAAGGCCGGGTAAAATATGGTAGGTGTTGATGCACAAACACACGCATTCACATCTGAGTGATCTCGCATGCATTCTTTGGACTAGAATCCAAGAGAACCCAGCACTTGAAACAATCAAGTGTGAACCCAGAGGCCAACAGAATGTACATACTTCTGCTCAGAAACCGCAGGGTCAGGTGCGCTGAAGGATGGGAACTGCTTGCTCCCATCGAACACGCGGATGCTCAGTGGCATCTTCCCGATGGGATACGGCGCATTGACGTCCAACACCTCCCATTTCCTGGGGCGCCCGGCACCGACCGGCGTGTCGTCGACGACGTGGCGTGGTGTGACGTGGGCAGGTCCAATGCGCTGCCAAGTGTCAAAGCATGGTCTCGTGAGACACCGTTCCAGATCCAACTCAGCATGTAGATGGAGAATGGAACAGCATGATACCTGGGCCCAGAAGGAGGCGGTCAGAAAATCGTATCTCCACCCCAGCCGACGAGGGTGCAGAAACAGGTGACCATGCACCATCCAACTAAGCATCCGGACGACAACAACAACAACAACAACCACAACCACAACCACTACCTAAACATGTAGACTATACTTGAATCTAAAAAATAAAGAAACAAACGAAGCTCTGCGTTGTAGGCCGGCCAGGATACAAAACCACATCTTCTTGATGGGCCTTTTCCACTGCCACCAAGCCCTCCAAAATGGCCTTGTCTTCGAAATCCAGTTTCTCTGCAGCCTCTTTGTGCTGTTGGATCCTCAAGAATGGACCGTTTGAGGAGGTCGTGTCTGAAGGCTGGTTGTGTCTGCAGGATGGGAAAGGAAGAATAAAACTGCATACAAATCTTCAAGCTGCTTCAACGGATCAATCCAGCTTAGATGCTGAAATTGCTAGAACCTCCGAAGGAAAAAGGAGTCAAGGATCAACCACAGAACCGCGAGTTCGATACCTTCGCCTCGGCCATCCCAAATGCACCCAGGCTCTCCAAGTATGAGGCAATCTCGGAAGGTACACCAGCAAGTCCGCAGCTCAGCAGCAAGAATCCGAGGGTGCACCCCATGGCTGAGACCGGCATGGCACCACGAGCCTTCTTTCTTCGTTCAGAAGCAGTTGATCCATGAACGGTCATGAAGCCGATGTTGGTGGAACAAGGCTTCGAAGCGGTTCCAAGACAAATGTGTGGAACAAGTGCATGGCATTTTCTCGATCGCTTCGAAACTGTTCTTGCTCTCTTGTCATGCGACTTCTGAACCATGGCTGGCGTAGAAGTCGAAAACTGACCATTGTATTAGCTGCTGGATCATCGTTCCACACCTCCATACTTCCAGAATGAAACAAACCTCTAGCCAGAGCAACAAAATATATAACTATATGCCCATAGGCATCCATAGGTCATAGATCCCATAGAGTCTCCATACACTCCTGGCTTCCGGCTTTTTCTCGCAACTCCATCGAAAGATCTTGGCTCCTCTGCCCAAGAAGGTACAGGGCGCGTCGATCTCGCGGGCACAGCGGCAGAAGTGCTGATGCGCCTCGGGCACAGCCCGGAGAGATCGACACGTCTGGGATCGAAAACGGAGGCTGCGAGCTCCTGGATTCTCCCTAGTGTTCGGTTGTTCCAGGTGCGAACAGATTGGGTGGTTTTTCCTGGATGTACATCCAAGGTACATAAGCCAGGTCCGAAAACTCATAGCATTCCCTCGCCTGGTGGTCACACAGCACACAGATTGTCAGCTGCCAGTGGTCAACAAATGCGGAAGACTCAAGAGAAGTGTACAGCTTGTGAATCTTTTTGAGCACATCTCTTGTTGCAGGCATTTCATCAAGCAAATGATTTCTTGCAGAGTTCACCCATTCACTGACTCACTACAGTAAGTGGGCCACCCAAAAAATGGGACCCTCCAAAACCATCCACTGCCGCCCTACTTCCAGGGCCCCTTTTCCAGGGCCCGCCTCGAGCATCAGCCAGACCTGTACCGCTCGGATGGCGGCATCCCCCCCAGCGGTAGAGCCACCAGCCGCCCCACTCATCGATCCAATCCTGCAGGATCCGCAGCTGGATCCAGGTCGGGTTGGACGGCCACAACGCGAGCCGGCTGGCTCGGGGGAGCCAACCGAAAAATGATGCCAAGCCAGGGTGACAGTGACAGGTCGTGAGGTTGGGGTGCTGATTTGGGTGTGAAAGTCCAGTGTGGTGATTAGGAGGTCTGAAATTCGGAAGGGCGACGTCACAGAAGCGATCGCCTCAGACTTCCACGATCGACTCAGACTCATCGCCTTCCTCCCGGTGCTTTGGATGACTGAGAGTGGCACAGTGAATCTGCGCAAGGCATCAGTGCGAAAGCTGGAGATGTGCAGGATCATCATGTCCTTGCCAAGTGAATCCACCCAGAAATGAAAATGACACAGGCTTTTTGTGTCCCACAACATCCACCCAGCTGGTTACAGGCGTACCAAAACATGATAACCACCAAGGGTGTGTAGTTCAAATAGAGAGGCCCTCCCAGGCGTGAACCGGCCCCCTGGAAGAAGGAACATGGACCAGTCTACCCAGCCAGGGCCACGGTCCATCGGGTGTCTCCGAAAGACCCCACACATCACGACCCACCGACCGCAGGCGGCGGCCCGCCCGCGACCTCCCCCCCCCGCGCAGAGTCGGGCAAAGACCTGCCCGGCACACGCGCGGCGGGGGGTGTCTCCAGGCCGAGGCTCGGTCAAGGGGACATGTCCCTTCCAGGCCGGCGAGCTGAAAGGCAACACGTGGCCACGTTCCAGCGGAGAGTTCACCTCGGAGCGAGCTCCGTGGCCACGCTCGACTCGACGACATGTCCAAGGTGGTGCAGCGGGATTCCGCGGGGATTCAGCGTGGAACTGGTCGTTTGGGGGGGGGGGGGTCTATTCGGGAGTCTGACAGGGGTTGTTAGGTGTTGGTGGGAAAGGAAGGTTAAAGGCTTGAATCTTGAACTCTTTGACATATATTACATATGTTTTTCAAGCTGATCTTGGAGTTGTAAGTGCTCTTCAGAGCCCAATATGCCCAATGTGAGATACAAATAGATACAATGGATATCATAACGGTTTGGCCTTGGATCAACATGGGATCAGCCTAACATCGAACAGTCACCGACAAGATCCGCTCGAAGTAGGTGTTCTGCGCCGTCTCGCTGAAACCCTCCTGGACGATGGGAAAGACGTGGCGATCGGCGTTGCACAGCCGGAACTAGGCAAGACATACCAGTATCAACGTCAATCACATGTTTGTCTGCTTGCAGACCTTGACATTGCCTTCTGGTTTGAGTGACCCAAGCTGTTGAAGTTGCCTGCTCTCGATGAGCAGACCTGAATGAGTTCCAGAGTGATCTATCTCAAATCGCTTCTGCCGTCGTCTCATCCCTGCATTCGTTGTGCTTGGTGAATATGATTTGGTGAGGATGGGGCGTTCCTTCAGACTTGAATGATCCTTTTTGATGTGTCCTTCCAGCGGAAATGCAACATACAAGATCAAGCAAGCTTGCGCGCAAGCTTTGCGCGGAGTGGGTGGGAGAAAAGCGTAACAACATCAGCAAAGTCGACTGCCACTACCTCGAGAAAAATGAACCTCCCATCCTTCAACAGCCTCATTTGGCCGCCCCAACGAGGCCCACTTCCTTTTTGCCCGCGCTCCTCGAAGGCACGGTCCTGATTCAAAACACCACCTTCGTCCAAGGACATGGCGGCCGGTGGACGATCTTTGCTGCCTCCCAGTTCGGCGGCTTCAAAGAGTAGGGCGACGTCAAAGAGGTTCTTGATCACCGGAGCGTCCTCGAAGAAGGTTGGAGTTGGAGGCGATCCCTATTAGGTTGGAGGCCAGTACTAGTAGGTTGGAGGCCATCGCTAGTAGTTCGGAGACCATTGCTATTAGAAACAAGAAGTGAGAAGTCTTCTGACCAGTCACTCTCCCTGGAACTTGCATGGTGGACATGGAAGTGGAGTCCAAAACCCTGTTTGTAGAGGATTTCATAGTCTTCCTCCACGTAGACCATGCCATGCACTTCCGTGTTCTGCTCCAGGAAGGTATGTGAGATGAATGAATTCACAGATCATGTCCTGTCCCCAGATGTTTTGTATGAAAATCATGAGATGCCCTATGTGTAGACACCACCAAATGTCTTCCAAAAGGTCCCTGCTGTGCCCAGTATGTACTGTAGATGCAGTTCTCAAGGCACAACAAAATCTGAAGAGATGTCGTGCTTCAGTCGCTCCTCTCGTCCCACGTGCGTATAACCGAAGATCGCCTGCTGCTCAATCATTCTGGCAGCAAAATCCTCTTCCACATCACCTTGGCAGTCTGAGCATTGGGCCCAGATTGAGACCTAAAACGTGCCACGTTTGGGGGCCAAATGATCTGTGACGCCTCCGGTCTTTGGTGGCCAAGTCGACTGGTCAACGTCCATGGTGCGCAGGCAAGCACCTGCCTGTACCTGCCTGCTCTGCCTATCCTGCAACTCCTCTTGAAGAAAAGTCGCCAGTGAAATAGGAATCCGAATCCAACCACAGCATCCAGTCCTCAGATTCGGTCGGCTCGCTTCCGACTCAGTGCCCGGCCTACCGACCAATAGCCCAGACTTCCCCGGAGCTTCTCATCAGGTGCTGAAGAGTCATGACAGGTGACGACCTGAAATTTCTCCAGTTTGGCACGGTCAACATGGTTAAGAATCGTTTAAGACTAGGATGGTATCGGCTTGTCGTAAGAATCCCGTAATCGTTCAATGAAAACATCCTTGGCAAATGCTTCTGCAGTAGTTGTAGTCAATCTTTAGTAAAGCTGAGAATGTCGCCTCTGACAGTTGAATACGTCCATCCTTATCAACCATAACTCGTTTCAATGTAGAAACCGACAAAAAGCCTCAGCTCCATATCCTGGACTTTGTGCCCAAGGAGGCACAAATTCATTCGCCACCAGTAGCTGGTATGTCTTCTTCGTCCCTGCAAGTGAAAAACTATTGTATAATCTACTGGAGACCATCCCCAAATCATCAAGCTCGTCATCAACAACAACATCGACCACTTACACATATTGCATAATATTAGCAACAAATCTGGAAAAAAAGGGATGATGAATAAAACTGCCACAGTCGTTTGGTATTTCACCGTCGTCCCAGGCACAAAGCCCTGCAAAGCTGGCTGATCCAGGACAAAGGTGGCCTTGAAACGACCTCGACTCCAAGGAGCCACCGGGCGGGCTCACCGAGCGGGTGCGAGGGCGGTCGAGAGCGGAGGGTGCTCCCGTTGTGGTTGGAGCCCATGGAAGAACGGAACGCCAGTGGCTATAAAACCGGGTTCCGGTGGTTGAAACCACGTGTCGACTCCTCCACCCATGCAGCCGAAGCAGCACATGAGCCGATAGCCCTCGGGGACGGTCGCTTCCATCAAACGTCCAGGTCCCGTTGGCAAAGCTTCTGGCTTCCTCAGCGCAGCCGAAGCAGAAACGACCGGTGTCTCTGTCTCTGTCTCTCTGTCTCCGGTCCTCATGTTCCAGTCCGCCACCATCGGCGGCTTGCCGCCCAGTGGCCGAAAGAAGCGGTCCACATTGGCAAACCACACACGGTTCCGAGACGACTGCCTGATCTCCGCCACCTACCGGCGGCGTGTGCAACAGCAGCAATTCGGGGGGGGCTGTCGGTGGAAAGAACGCAAGCAGAGTTAGTTCATCCGGACCTAGTAACGACCAGGTCGCTTCCAAAAGGGAATCGTTTCACTGGGAAGCGTGTTCATTTGTAGTAACAATCAAGTCATGTGTCCATCATCTTTCCCATCTTCAATCCTCTTTATATAATCGGATCCGTTTTGCTCTTGACGTACGCCTCACGAGGTGACAGGCCCTGGTGAAAGACCAGAACCGGGTGATCAAAGCGATGATTGAACTTCTCCCACCAATTCCTTGGAGCGTCCGTGGCTGGCCGATGGACCGAAAACGCCTTGACTAGCGCCAGTCAAGACTAGCGCAGAGTCTTGATGCGTGAGGCCCTGACAGGCAACACAAAATGTTCAACTGACTCCTTAGAGGATTTGAAGGTCTGGAAATTTGAGGATCCCTTCCCTTCAGAAGGTCTGCCAGACCATCTGAAACTGTATTGTCAGACAGTATAGGAGAAACCAGCTTGCGGTCCTCAAGCATAGCAACAGTTTCGCAAAAGGAACCGACTCTTCTGTCATGCCGCCTTGCCATTAAGTTGAGTGTGTCCACACAAAAACACACTGTCGAATCAATGCTGGCTGTCAAGATTACTGGAGTGTCATTGACAACTCCAAATGTACACTCTTGACTAATAAACCCACCCGTTTGAATTGGAAACCCTCTTCAGGCTACGGGGGGTTTGTTAATCAAGAGTCTACATTAAGTTGAGTGAGCAACTTGGAGTCAGTTCCGAACCTTCCTCTTCTTCTTTCCAAAAGAAGCACCCAATGCGTTCGGCTGAGAAAAAAAACTGGCACCGTGGCATGGCTTCGCTTGCGCACGTCCAAGCGCCGCTTACGGCAAGCATCGAGAGCCCGAAGTGCAGCTCATGGAGCCGCGCGCGCGAAGCCATGGTCACAATCACCGTGCCGCCAACAGTGACCCCTTCCGCGCGATCGGTATCGACACCTCACAGGAGAAGAGCGGAGAAGACTCTCAGAGAAGACTTTCAGAGATTCTGGTCAGGAATCTACTATCTCATCTATCTCTAGAAGATTCTAGAAGACCAGACCGGGTCAGAGGGTAAAAAGTATATATAGATACCGCAACAGGCGCCAGTCTTGGAAATCCTGCGCCCCGCCAGGACAGGCCCCATATGAGTCATGAGGTTCGTCCATGTGGTGCCAAAATCAGTTCGCCCCCACCCCTTTTAGCCTGGCTCCAACTGCTCACAAAGCTCGCCACGCCAGGGTGGATAGCACTCCTCGGCCGGTTTCAGAACTGGTGAAGACGGAGACGACGGGAGAAACTGTAGAGTAGACTGGGGATGTGATGATCTCAGAGACTAGGCATGACTATGTCACATTATTCTCAGAAAGAAAGAAAGAAAGAAAAAGACCGCCTTGAACATTTCCTGGAACGCCGCCTGGAACACCACCTGGCCCCCCGTTTCAAGATCGCAGCCGTGTGTCACAAAGGCCCTCTTCGATCAAACAATGCCCGCGATCCGCGATCGCATGCTGACCTCAAGCGGCGCATTTCAGCCAAATACTGTCAGCTATTTCTAGAATTTCCACTTTCAGATCATAGGTCTGAAGCAAAAACTAGTGTCTCTCCCCCAAGTAACTGCGAATCGCTGCGACTTCCTGGGACATTACCGCCAAGCTAAATCTGTTGAGTTTTACAAATCGAGGCGACTTCCAGCATTGAGAGTACTTGGATCTTCAGCATCTTATAATCTTCCAGGAAATCCGGGAAGAAAAAACATATAAGAGCCCAAGAGGGAGCACACCTCTGAGCCATGTGGTTTCAACCTTGATTTCGATCCAGTGCTCAGCCTCCGGACGTCCCGGCAGGTGGGGCCACGAAGCAGGATCCGTGACCTTGCACCGAGGAGCCCTACGCTTGGACCGAGCCAAGCCTTCCCAGACGAACAAGTCCTTCCATCAGGACCACCCGGTGGTGCTGGTTCTGGCCGCACCTCGTGCCGAGAGAGGCTTCCCTGCGTCCGGCACATCGGATCATCGTAGAGATGCCTGGCGAGGGAATTGGCATGGACATCGGAGCGGCGACGTGTTTCGGCAGGCGCAGGAGGCCAAGCCGACAGAAGTCGACATGGAATACGTTCCTCTTTTGTCATGACCGAAAACCAGGAATATATAGATTGTTCATGGTTGTTCCATGTCACATGATTTCGCCATTCATGGTTGGTCCATGTCACCACCATCCCAGAAAAATCGCCAACACCAGAGTCTTCATGATGCCCACGGCATCACAAAATGCGGCACGAGGCCATGCAATCAACAAGGTCCCTTCCGGCAACAAAGGCTCATGTCCATCATGTGGTGGCTTCCAAAAAACTTTCAGCATCAAACATTAGGTCATTAGGTACCGTCTAAACCTTGCACAATATCAAAAAACGATGCAAAAAGTACTTTATGCACGCCAACCCAGATCAACCCAGTGAACTTCTGCAGAATCCCATTTGAATCGCACCTCTTGGAGGCAGGCAACTTCTTCACCAGTTGCTCCAAGGGCATCTGTGGCAGGTCCAAGGACTCAGCGAGTACGGTCGCTAGCCCGAACGAAGCTCGCGCTCGTGCTTCGTCACCGAGCGCTTCGCTCGCGCCCGCGCACCGGCGCCCGCGAACTCGCGTGCGTTCCTTCCGCCCAAGGCGCCAAGTAGTCCTTGCAGGGCCACTCAGCGTCTACCAAGACCTTGGCCTTCCCGGACGCACCGGGACGGAAAGAAAATAGAAAACATGAGCCTCGCGGGATGGGGCGAAGACGAAGCGCTCGTGCTAGGGAAGGAAGTGCTTCTTCGTCCGGGGGGGGGGTGCGAACGGGAAAAATCCCACAGCATGTGTTGAAAGATTTGTGGTTTGTGATTCAAAAAGTATGATAGCACAGTACAACATGCTGCCAGCGAAAGACTGGCGGGAAGAGGTCGCCAAACTGTCCCTCAACAAGAGAGTTCACACAGACCTGCCGCTACAATATGATCCTGAGCAAGAATACTCCTGCCTCCTCTAAGATGTCCAGGCCAGACTTCATGAGGTGAAGAGTACTGGACCTTCGCAAATTCCAAGATCACCAGGAGTTGGTTTTCCTCTTTTTTCCATTGGTTCAAAACGGAAAGAGGCCTCACGCCGTGGTTGGGTTCTCTAACAACCACGTTTTTTACCCCGGTTATTTTCGTCACGACGACCAATACACTTCGTGTGAAACTCACTCGACTTCCGCAGTTCATCGGATCACCTCGCCGAGCGGCACACACCCAGCGCCGCGGTGCCAGATCTCCTCCACTGAGGCGCATGCATCGCCGCTCTCATCTAGGGAGCAGAAATGGTGAGCCTTGAGCGCCCAAAAAAACATATATATATATATTCTAAATTTATGCCTGAAATGTTGAATTGCTGCTACAACAGGCTCTAAGTTGATGTGCAAGCCCCACCAAAAACCGACAAGAGTGACAAGAAGAGCGAGCCCTTTTGGTGAAAGTTCGGCCTCACAACATGACCAAGCGTTGCAGTGAGAAAACGAGCCGGCTTTCAATAGGGAGGCCTACTATGGGTTCCTCTGGCCTTTGGTCAAGGGCATGTAGATTGATTGACATCGAGAGGTTGCAGCAAGAAAGAAAAAGGTGGATTGTCGATCGACCAATTGATTCCTCTGTATAAATCTAGGTCCTAGAAGTTTACTGTATAGGCTTACCGTCTCTCTCTCTCTCTCTCTATAGTGGTTCAACTTGGCTCTTTAGGGCCGCCCAAAGCCAGGCAGCTAAAGATCTCTCAACGAAAATGGCACGAGCACCGTGCACGAAGAGCAGAGTGTAGCGTGGCGAGAGCAAGTCCACAGCACTCTGCAAAGAGCAGTGTGCCAGGAATAGCAAGCCTTGGATGACACCTCTCTCTTCCTGAAAGCAGTTTTCACCACTCAAATCCCATCCACGAATGCATTCCTCATCCCGTCTGTTTCAGTGCTGTTCTGCTCTTTCTCCCAGTGCTGTTCTACACACTGTTGAGTCGGTTTCGGGTCTTTCTCCCGGAGCTTTCACGTGCTTCATGTAGACTCCTGGATGACATTTCAACTCCCCATGGGGCCTGAAGAGGTCTTAAAATCGTCTGCCTGGGTCTGTCTGGGGACGGCTTATCCAGTCTACATGAGGTAGTCATCGCATGGCAACCACATTGTCATCACATGTCAACCAGTTCCAAACGTCCCAAGCAGCGTTGCAACTTGTGAGTGTCCGTCATGTCTTCCGCCACGAAATGGAGCTCGAAACGGATTCCTCAGTGCTAGCTTAGCATTTCTTTCTTATGAAAGCAAGGGGGTAGGATCGTGGGGTCAACAAAAAGAATGTTGACAAGTCAAACCAAATCCCCCAAAAAAAGACTTCTGCACGCTGTCCAGAGTCTTTCATAGTTTGGTATGATCCTCGTAGGCGGTGCATACAGTGGGTTGATCCTTGGGCTGAATAAGTTTGCCATGGATAGTTCAGCAATCAAACAAGCACAAAATATATGAGGATCGATTTTCTCTGGATTGTCAAAGAGTGCGGCACAGTTTTGAGGACAAAAGCTTCGAGGACAAAGAAAGTGATTCTGTCAAACAGCCTTTGAGCAGTTTGTGATGGCAAATAGCACGGCGCTGCATCCGGAGGCCGCTATTTCATTCCAAACACCAATTGCGTCCTGTCAAGAATTCAAGACCTACAAGGCCCTCAACCAGCTGGTTCTACGTTCATTCGGTCGAAGCATCGGTACCACCAGCACGTAGGCATTGCCTCGCACGGGAGGGATCATGTCCTTAGTTCGCATCGCCCATGGATAGCAACAAACCAATCAACCGAGGGACATAGAGCCTCGGCCTGTTGGTAGATACGCATGGAGAACGACCAGGTGGGTGTGGTCCGGCAGGCACCCTCAAAGAGTACCATGTGTGTGTGTGTGTGGTCTGTGCCGCTTTGCAAAAAACAACTGGCAGGACGTAGAGTGGCGACTGACCTGATGGTATCAAGTACTAGTCAAACAAGGAAAATCCCATTCTATTGACTAGTAGTAACAGGTGATTCATTCATTGACTGACTGACTGACTGACTGGCTGGCTGGCTGGCTGGCTGGCTGGCTGACTGACTGACTGACTGACCAAATGAATGACTGACTGACTGACTGAATGAATGACTGACTGGCTGACTGACTGACTGAATGAATGACTGACTCACTGAATGAATGAATGAATGAACGAACGAACGAACGAACGAATGAATGAATGAATCCCATCCCATTGACTCATTCACCCTCTTGCCAAGGCTCAGCCATATCGAAGCAATTCCCCGCCTGCGGGGAGACCACCACCAAGTCGGCGTTCTTCGGTGTCACCGTGATGCCACCACCCTGCCCGGTGGGAAAGGCCCGAGACCCGGCCGTTACGGCCCCAGCACGGCCTGGTTTCTTCATCAGATCAACAGCAATTTAACTGGTTGGAGGGTACTACTATAGAGGTCAAGAAGCAGACTGAGGAAGAGTTGTGAGATCTAAATCTGATCATTTTTGTGATCTACAGCCAAACGACTGCATAAATCTACTCAGCGGGATAGGAGTCTTCGACAAAACATGCCAAGGACTGGACACTGTGCACATCATGTTTTTCACAATGCTGCACTTGTGTTCATGTTGATTTCTGTTTTCCCTGTCTAGGGATCAAAGCATGCAGTTCCTCGAGTTGCCATGATCCTACAACCCTTCGCAGACCAGCAAACAAGGACACGCTACAAAAATCAAAGTCTGAAACACATGCAGTGAAAAAAAAACGATTGGAAACACCTCCACACACAAAAGTAGAAAAAGAAAAAAAGACACACAAAACGGATGCCATCCATCACTCTCAACGGTGTGCCTGCTTTGGGCTCAAAATGACCTGAGATCGTGGATCCCCAAACAAAGCGGGCATGTCCAAGATCTCATTCCTTCCCGCTCCTTCTTGGATCGTGCAAAAAAAATAATCAGATGTCTGTCTTCCAGTGCCGTCCCTTCCTCTTCGCCAGGCGACTTTACCATACTTCTTGCTGGTGACCTTGCCGCCTGAATCAAACTCCAAACCTCGGGCGGAGGCAGGAGATGTCCTGCCAGAGATCCAGTTCTTGACTGACCGGTCGGTGGATGTTTGATGCATGAAGATCATGAGAAGGACGTCCATCCGGTTGGGAGATTGTTCCATTGTATAATGGAGTGGCATAAGAGCGATCCATCAGCAGTTGGAGTTTGGAAGGAGAGAAAAGCGTGGCGTTCTTTTTGGTGATGGATTCAGAATCCTCGGTGGCAGAACACCGAAACGCAACTCCAGATGTACACGAAGAAGATGGTGGTCATGGGATTTCTACCCCCCGAACGGACCCAAACACCAATGCTCTAGATTCCAGACATGATATGATCAGCTTTTCTTTCCTTCATCTGTCAGATCTGTCACCCAAAGTCAGAGATAAATGCCGCCAATGGTGCGAAAGGTGTCATTGCCGGGGCTTTCGACAATGCGCCCCTGCTCTGAGCCAATGGATGTGACCTGAGTTCACTCCCTCTCGACTATCAGCGCGCTTCAGCGAAGAAGCGACCACTGGGATGGGACAGTCCCAGGCCAGAAACCACTCATTGGTAGCTCGTCACAAACAGAAATTGGATCTTCAAACCAAACCCAGTACCATGGTTGCCATGGATCAAAAGAGATCCTCCTCAAGATCAACCCCAGTACTGGTCCTTCATGATCCTTCATGCTCCTTCATGGTCCTTCGTTCTTTCGTCGTCTTGTTGGCTGATCCATCGCCAAGAGACCCGGAGGCCATCGCTCTTAGGTTGGAGACCCGGAGGGCATCGCTAGTAGGTTGGAGGCCTTCGCTATTAGAAACAAAGAAACACCAAATGGGAGTGGTGATCAAGGGGCATTCTCCAGATCGCTGATCATGGTGATCACGTCCCAGCCCCCGATGTCTTGCAAACAGCGGCTTGGGTCGTGCAACAAGGGGATGTCCTCGGCCGGTGCGGTTCGGAAACCCGGTCGGAGGATTGAGATGACGTCTCGCGAACGTGCTGCCGGGGGTTACAATTTGGAGCGGGCTGCCATGTTCACACGCCCTTATCATCCCTGTTCCTGTTCCCAACTGGTATGAAACTGTTTGACCAGGCGCGAAAAAAGAGCCAAATGCAGCTGGGGTGGTCAATCAAGAAGCGAAAGGTGCGATTGACAGGACAAGTGCATCGGCAGAGTTTCTGCCCCTTTCCCGAGGTCAGGATGCCATTGCAATGGCATTGCATGCCCTTGGTGGTTGGTCTCAAAGAGGTGAATTTACAGCACAATTTACATTGGGGATGTGAAATCATCAGAGTTGCGACAAAAAGTGTTCTTCTGACATAGGCGTTCTTCTGACATAGGCGTGATGGCATTCTCGGAGGTGAATGCAATCTCACCAACCGAACCAACGAAACCCATCCAACCCTTTTGGTCCAAGGCTGTTGACCTTTCCAGGGCGCTGGCGGCCTCCTCAATTGAGGGCTCGCTGAAAACTTCCTTCCAGGCGCCAGAAGTGAAAAGGAAATCGTTGAATCTTGGAGCGTTGGAGCTTCACATCATAGCCGTGAAGGAAGTGAAGAAGGAAAACCAACATCTCATCCCTGGCGAACTTGTATCCTGGGCGCGCCGAGAACGCCAAACGGTGGGCCTCCGAGATCGCTGGCCAACGGTGGGAGCCCAGACTAATTACTTGGAGGTATTCAGTGAAAACTTCAAAAGGACCCCACAAGGACCCCACCAGGACGGAGCTCCAAGGCTTCAAGAAATGAGAACAACTGGTCTTTTCGATCCTCTCCAGGTGTCCGATGCACATCCGGCTACCTCCGCCAAAGGAAGCGAAGTAGGTGGCCTCAAAGGTCCGGTCCAGGAATTTCCCCTCACTCAAGTGCCGCTGGATGGAGAAGGACTTGCTCTCCTCTGCTGTGCTATGCTTTCCAGCTGGTGCAAAAGTGATGGCCCATCCCTTTGGCACCAGGTAGCCATCCACTTCGGTGTCCTCCCAACAAGGACCAGTTCACTCCCTGAAGCGTCGTTTGGGGCTTAATCCCTCTTCACTCACTTCGTTTGGGGGATAGATCTCCCGAAGATCTGTCCAACCATCACAGCGAAAGTGACATGGCCCCGCCAGCGCGACTCGTACAACTGACTACTCGTGCGACTGACGACGAAACGTGCGACTCGTGCGACGACACGACGCGTGCGACTCGTGCGACGACACTACGCGTGCGACTCGCCTCTCTCAAGGTTCGGGTCACGACCTGCACCGGAGGGTTCACACGCCAGACTTCCTGCACGAAGGCCCGAGTCTTCACCAGAGAGTCCAGGAGCTGTCGAGTGACCCGGGCTTCACCATCCCAAGCAGTTCGCACCTCCTTGGGAAGTCAGGACATACAGCTCTGACAAAGGACCTAGAGTGGCCACTAAGTAACTAAACTCAACTCATGTATATATATATATATGTTTTATATTAAAGAATATCATGAAACAAACAGAAGAATCTTTTGAAACTGCCTTCATCTATTTGAAGACCCTTTTCGAAGAGTTGGAGTTTCGCCACACCAGCCTGCCGTAAAAGGGCCTCCACTTCAGGGCACTCTTTCAGCCAATGGAGGCAGCTTTGAATCGAACAGAGCGTGGTATCGTGGCCAGCGAACATCATCGCAACGCAGAAATCTGAGATCTCCTCCTCACTGTTCATGCCTTCGGCCTGCCTTGGATCTTCTGCTGTTTTCTTTTTACAATGAAAGGTTGAGACGGTTGAGAAAAAAAGAAAAAAACAACACCGAAGAAGAAAGGAAGGCGCAGCATGGTATCCAGCATAGTATTGATTTGAAACATTCGACATGGATCTTTCAGCTTCTGCCGCTTCTTCTCAATAAGCGTCTCGAATTCCTGTACCAGCAGCTTTCGAGCCTTCATACATTCATGAAAGGGGAATCCGGGAATATCCAAGGGCACCACATATCCCAGACCTTTGAAGGTGTTTTCGTAGAGCTGCATCAAGGAATTCGTTGTCAGCGGGTCATTCTCAACTCCCAAGATAACAGCTTCACCGCACTCGAAGGCGTACTTTTTCACGACTAGGTGTAAATCCTGGGAGGTGGAAATTCCTCCGGTTTCAGCCCATGCATCCAAATGCTTGGCAGACAGTCTTTGTAGGCATGGCAGGTAGGAGTCCAACTGTCGATCTCCAAAGGCACGAGAGTTCAGCGTCCGAATCTTCTTGTGAAGGGGATCATTCACCATGGGCAGGGAGCTGGTGCCCACCAACTGTTGGAAGTGTCTCGGCCAGGCCAAGTCCTTCTCCGAGAAGATCAGCTTCGCATTGGCCTCGGTCACTCCCAAGATCACGGTGGGAGAAAAGAGCAGATGCGACCTGCAAGTGCCTCCATAGCGTGAGAGCTTTTCCTGTCGGTGTGACCGGTCACAAGAAACACAGCCAGACCGGTTACCAAAATGAAAGAAACAGAGCCAAACAGAGCGAAACAGCTGGTCCCACTGAACTCGGACGGAACGAAAGCTCCTCGATAAAGCCCAAAGGATCTCGGACATAGCTCAATGTCTCTCCCAGAAATGGCAAGGACCAAAAGCTACCTGGTGGCAGTTTTTTACGTGACTTTTCCTTGAGCCACCAAATCCAGGCCGACAGTCCAGCTGCCAATATGACCACCAAGCCCTTCTGCGATGCCTGAAGCTCCGCCATAGCGACCGCGAGTCGCCCCCGCGGAAACTCTGCTCAACCACCAAGCCCGCTGTTCCACGGAGCCAAGGGAGAGGCTCCGTTGGAGCATGAAAACTGCCGTGATGGAAAGCACCAAACCACTGGGCTCATCGGGTTCAAACCTGGTTCTTCTTCCATGTAATTCGTGTCCACGCAATGTATTCTCCCAAGGCTCCGCGCTGTTCCAAGCCGTAAAAAAGAAGGGAACCCCGTGGTTTGGGTTTGGAGTTGCCGGTGCTTCAAGTGGCTTCAGGTGGTTGGAAGTACACTGAGTACATCACCCTGGCCCATCGTTCTGCAGTCCAAGAGAGCATGGTCTCATCAGTCCAAGCATCTGCAGAGACGTCGCACGTCTCTTCGGTGAGCATGTAGTAAGGCGCTGGCCGAAGCGCAGCGGCCACACGAGTCGCTTCCTCCACTGGCGTGTGTGAGGACTGGGTGGCCATCGAGCGCAGGGAAAAGTAAAAAAAGAACTCTATATGTATATATAGTCTAAGCTGGGCTGTCAACCGGACCTCAGATCGCGACGCGCGATCTGGGTCCAGTGGGGCGAATTGAAAGTCAAAAGGCCTTGCGACCTTCCCTTTCTACTGAACTCTAGGAACTGTATGAACTGCATTGCTTGAGGTTCTGACCCTCAAAGGTCCGCTTCATTGCCTTCTGCTTCAAAAACAAACAAACATCGAACACTGAGGTCATTGAAATTGGTGGGAAAAAAACCTTGGAAAAGCCTGGGAAAATTGGAGAAACATGGAAAAACCTTTAAAAAAAGAACACTGGACATCTTCTCCCTGCCCACTTTCCTCCCCCTCGCCTTCAATCGTCCCAGAACCTCCTCAAGCCACCCCTCGCTGCTGGCAGAAGCCACACCTTCCCACCTCAAACGGCTCCGGAGGCCGAAAAGAGCTCCCCAAACGACGTCAACGGGCTCGGGACGCGTTGGGCGTCACCGTTTGGACGCCTGGAAGGGATCTCTTGGGGCGGGCGAAATCTCCTCTGAAGGCGTATCACTTTGGACAAAAGTAAACCGAGAGTATCCGAGACTGTGGTTGTATCATGGAATGTGGAGCTGCACAGTGCTACCAAAAAGATCCCACCCAGACTCTGAGTGCTTCACCAGAAAGCATTCGCATAATCGTCTCCGCTGCAATGAGGCAGCCTTGGTCGTCTGCATGGATCGATTCCGACCCGCCAACCGCAGCTTAATTTCAAGCCAACCGCATCAGGATGTCTGAAAACCCTAAATGATGAAGTGAAGTGTTTTCCCGACTTCATGAAGTTGTGCGTGCCACCGAAAACCTCAAGGCCACCCTTTTTTTTCCGCTAAGCAAATGTCCAATGTTCAGTGGTGGCTCTGCTCAAAGATGCATCGAGATGTAAGAAGTTGTCCTTGTGAAAGCTCGGGCACTCAAAAAACGGCACGTGAGTTGTCTTCCGCTATTTTCCTAGAAACAAATGGTACTCGCACAAACTGCAACTGGTACTTCAGCAAATGCGCTCCCTCCTCAAAAAGGAACGAAAAAAGCCAGAAAAAAACGCCAAGCATCAATGAGGCGGCTCACGGCCATGGACCAGGTAAAGCTGAAGGCCAGCAGAGTCTGAGAGAGACTCTCACCCTCCGACTCAAATTGTTGTTTCACCCATGCAAGATGTGCTTCAGAAAGTCCAATGGACGCGTGTGAAAGGCATGTGCTATACATGTGCTATGCATGAACCCCCTCTCTATCCTGGCGAACCTTCCGGAGTTAACATCCCTTCAGACCTTCATCAACCCACTACCAGTACAAACTTGTGTTGCTCACCCGAGACATCAAATCCTTGCTTCCTTGTCCCATCAAGTCTTGCGTGGGTCGACAGCTTCTTCCAAAAGCTTTTGGGCAAATCTGCGGTGACATCCCAAGAAGAGTGGAGTTGGGTTCTCGTGCCGCTGGGCCTTGGATGTTAAAGTCACCTCAGTCACCTTCGCTTCAGGACACCAAACACCTAGAAAGCTCGTTGTTGAGGAAGCTCGTTTGCATGGAAAAAACAACAACAAATCCATGCTCTTGTCATAGCCATAGCCCCATGGACACACCGTGCGATGCATCATTTGCCTGCTTGAACCGCTCGTGAGAGGTTTCTCCCCACCTGCCCCCAAGGAAGAGGATACGTCTCCGGCACTTCCAAGGTAAACAGATTCATCTCGCGGCTCACTTCGATCAAGACCGGCTCACTTTCCTCCCACGGGAAGACGTCGAAGAACACCGCGCGATACACAGAATAAGGAGGTCCAAGATTGGTAGAACGAACGAAAGCAAATCCAACGAGTTCATGTGAGTCTTGCATCGTCTTCTTATGCTACTGGAAAGTGAATGGATGGGATCATCAGCCCAGCTACATGGATGGCATCGTCTTGCCAGCTACATCCAGTCTAGATCCCCCCGCCGGCCTCTACCACCTTTCCATGGATTGGAATTGAGAGCAAAGGCAGTCTTCTCTTACTCAGCAGGCTGCCTCCGAAGGCCTTCGCGCTGCCCAAACGAGGCAGTGCGGGGACCTCCGGGTTGACCACCAACGGATGCGCTGGCAGCACGTCCCAGTGACCTGTGACATCGTCCAAGTGACCGGCACCGCACCGGTGGAAGGGGCAGAAGGGCTGGGACTGGGTCCTGGTTCTTTCTCGGTGGGGCATCCCATTCACCAGGTTTCAATGGATGGTCAGGTTGGCCCGACATCTCCAACGGTTTCATGGTGATCACCGACGTTCACCAACGGTTTGTGGCCAACTGAAGCAAAAAAGAATGCCCGGTTGGGCCACCCGGAGCCGAGATGCTTTCCGATGTCACTCACCCAAAACAGCCGAGGCACAGCGTGCAGGTGCAAATCCGAGAGTCAAGATTGCCACCGGCCTGGATAACCTAGGCAATAAGATGATTGCTAGCCATTCACCAGCCAACATGAACTTGGATGAACTAGCTACTTCTAAACTTTCAAGCTGCAACCAACCATGTTTTTGCCATGAACACACCTCACCAAGCTAGAGTCCCTGCTAAGACGCTCTGAAGAGAGTAGTATCCACCGCGTCTTGTTCAGCTTTTGCACCATTGTGGGTGCTCGATCTTTGAAAGATTGAAATTGCGCATTCCTTGGAGCTGTCTGGGCACGTCACATCTCGTCGGAAAAGACCACTTGTGAGAATTTCAACCCGTCGCCAAGCGCAAAACGATCTATGGCAATGTGATGAGCAAAGGTTTGTTTGGCACGCCAACCCCTGTAGCTTGTTGACAGCTCTAACAATGCTAGTGGCCCTCCAAGCAGAACACCAGCATGAGCGCACACAAAAGAATCTTCCCAATCAATATCACTTGGCTGACTGCACGTGTCTCTTATATACATTGATTGACGAACGGCTTGATGAGAATGGGTGTGCCATCAGAGCAGTGTGGTTGGTGGCTACGCACGATCAGTTCCAATGTGTTGAAAGAAGTGGGCGAAAGAGCATCAAACCGTCAGCGCCGTTCTGGCGAACCGCTTCTTTGAAGCCTTTGTTTGCTAGTTCGGAGGCAAGAACAAACGGTTAAAAGTGGCTTGGAACAGCATGGTGGGGTTGATTGTTCACTCTAGAGTGGACCTTTGGAATGGTCCATGTGCACCAAAAACCAGTCTTGCCATGACTCAAGCGCTCTAGGGCCTGCCAGTAGCCCTTCCTCCGGCGCAAGACCCGCATCGCAACCTTAGATATGGAAACAGGAGCAGATCTGGGGTCAACAACGAAAGTTTGCAGCACTTTCCTCCACCTCTTCCCATTCTTGGATCGCTGCAATATTACAATTGGTGTCCTTTGCTATCATCTTCTGTCAGACTAGATCTCAAAAGCACTGCCAAAAAGTCAAGCTCTAAATTCAGCTTCAGCAGATATATAGGAATTCCAAAAATGCCAATATAAACTGTAAACATAACAGTATAGATTTAAAAAAAAATATATATATATATATATGTTTGCAAAAAAATGTAAACTTCAAAAAAATCACCTTGAACAAGGCCCAGACGATCGGATCAAGCGACTCCCTCGGATCGTGGCTTTCCCACACATTTCGGGTCGTGGAACTGCGGCAAGCCGATGCGTTTCCGGAAGGTCAGGATACCTCGGAATTTGTTGTGCGGCTGAAACCAAACAAACAAACTAACAAACAAACAAACTGTATTTTACAGGATCAGCTCTAATAGTACTAACTACCTAGCTAACCCTGCTAGCCCGGTAAGCGCTACCTTTTGCTCTACCTTGAGAGTCAACGCTACGGGGTCCATGGGGATGAGGTGAATTTCAACACCCCCCTTTACAAGGAGCTACCCGTAGGGAAAAATCTCGGGGAGGATCAAATTCTAGCGACGAAGGAATCATATTAGAAATCCCTCATCAAGCTCGTGCATGCACTATACAAGGAGAACGTAGCTACCCTAATGTACGGTTTTCGCCTCACTCGGCATGTGGTTAAACATGCTAGGCCCAGGTTAGTGTTAAGCATTGATTAAAAGTTCACTCTCCGACTATGGCAATCCTGTTATGGATGCATTGGGAAGTGAGACAATGAAGTGAAACATCATCTCACAGCGCGTCAGAAGGTGATCTTTATCTCAACACTCATAAGCTGCAAGGCATACCATTTATGGTAGCTATTCAACATCTGCTTAAAGAAATTGTATTCCAAAACGCTCCGTCTCGTCATGCCATCCCTTCCTCAACCACTCCCACAATTCCATGTGATTGGGCCAATAGTTCTCGCCCCATGGGTCATCGCGTTGCCATTGTACTCCAGGAAAATCAAAGGGTTCCAATGGTCGATCAATAGTTCCACGAATGCTGGAAGTCGGCGTCCCAGTTAAGGGTGCATTATGTGACGATGATGCCGAAGCGGATGAAGTTCCGGGTGGCAATGGCGGCGGTGGCACGTTTTGTACATTCCATTGCTGTGGAGCATAAGGTCCTCCTCGAACACTCACCTGCTGCTTATCCTTGCCCTTTCCTTTTACGGAAGGTTGCAACCGACTGTAAAGGTCTGTAAGCGGCGGCGGCTTCGGCGTGAGATTGAAATCTGTCGGCCTTGTATGTACCGGAATGCCACTGGCTGTATTGGGTGGCACTTTCGGTGGAGGAACCTTTGGAGGAGGCACCTTTGGTGGTGGGACCTTCGGAGGTGAAGGTTTGGCTGGACGTGGCTTGGAGATTTGTGAAAGGCCAGTTGCAGGTGGGTTGTTGGGTGCAGGTAACGGTGGCGGTGAAGTTGGGGGACCCAAGAGGTCCTTGGGGATGTTGCCACGTTTAGGTGGAAGGACACGGCTCTGGGAAATTGCTCGGGCGACAGAACCACGCGGCGTCCCTTTTGCGGGAGCGGCTGAGCCTGCTGCCGAAGAACTGCCTTGGCCTTTGCCCTTTCCAGAAACATCTCTCCGTTCACCGACATCCTGTTTAGAGGAGTCACCCTTGGCGGTGGAGTCCGGTTGTCAACCCAAGTTGCAATACGACCAGATTGATCTCGGTCTTCTTTCCTCCTCCACTGCAGCCTCGGTCGTTTGTCTGCATCTCAATAGTCTCCATGTACATCTGCGATCGCTTCCGCGTCAACGGGGGCCTTGTTACAGGTCCTTGAGGAGATGGTGCTCCACGCTGCCCAAACTCAAGCAAGATCTCTTCAAGCCGTCGAATCTCGTCAGACGACATGTCCTGGCCACAATCGGCAAACTTGGGATAAGGCGTGGCCATGCGCTGTTCGATGTTCATGAAGCCCATCTGTGAAACTGGCTGTCCACGATCGCGTCCCTGCACACTTGCAGACTGTTGCGCGTTTCTCTGATATTGAATGTTTGCATAATTTTCATTCTGCTCTGCAAACTCACTCAAAATCTTGTAAATGCCTGTCGTGTCTCCACGAGGAATACGAATTGAATGAATATCGCCATAGACGTCCGTCGTGGGGATAAAGCCCTGGATCTTGATCTCATCTCGGCTATCGCCAATTACGGCGGCGTATTGTCGGAGTGACATAAACTCTCGGCGATAACTGATCAGAAAGTTCTCGTCGACGCCTTGCTTGAAACAGGTATGTAGGTTGTCAACACCGCATCGAATATACGCGAGCTTGGCGAGGTCAACCCTGTCCAGTCGATCCAAATCACTGACAACCGACTTCCCTTTTGATCTCTGCTTCGCTGATCTCGTGGGTGCCGGTAATTGCAGTGACGCAAACAAGTCTTCTTGCGCTGCATCAAACGCTGTGCATCCTTCTCCGGTTAAGGAGGTAGCGAAGACGTCGTCGCGGTTGAATCGATCGAATACATTCTCATACCCTGATTTCAATGCTTTGCGAAGGCGACTGCGAGCTGCAAGAATAATCTGACTGTCAACTGACGGGCTGCCACGAGCTGGAGGTCGTCCAGGCTGTAGGTCCTGCGCGGCAATGCTGTCAAGCATGCTTGTTGCGGTCATGTTCTTGGGCACGCCCCCCTGCTCTTGTAGCACCTTTGCACGCCTCATCTGAAGTCGCATAAACTTTGAAATCGGTCCATCTGTTGTATTGCTCTGAAATACTACTCCGCATCGATGACAAGATGCCATTCCTGCTAAGGAAAGTGTCGTGCATTTATCGCAGCTGAAAGTTCGAAGATGTAGAAAATATCCACTCTCGATCTGTGGTACAGCCGTATTGCGATTTGCCTCCATCTCTTCCTTCTTTGCGGCACTGCTGCTAGCTGTGCGTTCTTCGGGAGTGGCGTCGCTTGTACCTTCCAAAATGGTGCGTACTTCCGACACTTTTCCCGGGACCAATGTCACATCATCTTGCGGAACACCGACCTCAATGTTCGAAGGATCCAATGCCTGCGGCCTCGAATAGAAAACTTCTGGCTCCGCATTTGCGCGGGCTCGAGTTGCAAATAGAATACACGTATTCGGAACGTGATGGCTGGTAATCACCGCGCCAGAATTTGTGAGGAAAAGATCAACTCCTGCTTCAATCACATCCGGTGTTGAAAAACAAATCTCCACTGGTCGGTCAGCACGAACACCAGATATCGCCTTCTGGTTTCCCAGAGGTTGTGTTGAAAAGAAGGAATTGCCTTTGCTTTTCGGTCCACCGGCTCCACCGCCGGGAATGAGCCCGCTCGCAATAATGGATCGCGCAGCACCTTCATGCGTTCGGTGGTAAAGCCGAGGTGGTATGTCGCAATTCCCGTGCGCTGTCAAACGAGCATTGTACCTGTGTACATGGTCAGGACGGCAGTAGATTAGTACTGCTAGCACTTCATTTGATCGCGTCTCGAGAACGTCGTCAGTGTGGCCTTGTCCACATCGGATCTTGACGGGGGCGGCGAAAAGTTCGAGCTGCTCGTTCACACGAGAGTCGTACACGCATTGAAATTCGAAACGATCTTTGTGGTCATAAATAGCCATCGAAATCAACTCAAAAACATTCATAGAACCAGCATAATCAGGGAATTTGGCCTTCGCCAAATCTAGTAGTTTGTAAATTGGCAAATAACACGCCGGATCATAAATACTGACGTCTGGGACGTGTCCACGAAGAAGACCAGAAATACCGCGACGAACATGAGGTGGCCAGGAGCAGCACCACTCCCAAGGCCCATGATGATAATCCTCATATACATAATAGTACCTATGGCCAGTAACGTGGTACAGCACGTACTGCTTGGCGTCGCGGCCCAGCTCATCCTCGAGGAGTTGGATGTTGCCATTCCCGATGGCCTTGAGTAGGTGATCCGGGTAAGGATACCTTCCGAGAACCTCTTCAACCTCGACCTGCATATTTTTGTACTCGGGGTTAGGCTTCGTCTCGCGAACGAGAACGCCCTTCCCTTTTCCAGAAAATTTCAAGTCGGGGTTGTCGTTGTTCTCAGGTGCAAGAAAGCTCCCCGTTACGGGAGCGGCCGAAGGGGTGCCTTGTCCCTGCCCTTTGCCTCGCAATCGCGGCAATGGTGGTCTCGGGTCAGATGAAGACGCTTGACCGTCTGCGGGTTGGTCCGCGTCCGTAGGGATCATAGGAACATCTCCGGTTGCACCTTCTTCAACAGTCGTTTCATCATCAGCCAAAACATCAAGAACCTCGGCCTCGATCTTCGCCATCTGTGGATCAGGTTCTGGTGCTGTCGGCAAGGCATTTACGCCTGCGATACCAGTATCAGGCCCAGGTACTTCGTCGGTTGCGCCTGTATAGCTATCGGGCATCTCAACGTCCGCGTCGATTTCCTCAACCTTCGGCTCGACTTTTACGTCGGCTGTCGCAACGTCACCCATCGGCTCGTCCAATGCGGGCTGTTCCTCCGGTAGCTCAATAACAGGTACAACATTGACAAACTGCAACACATCTTGAGGATCTTCGCCTTCCAGGTTAACGGAGGCCTTGAGCTCTTCGACTGACACGTCATTCGTCTCAAAGGGGCTGTACGCTTGTACTTCCTCGACAGTAAACTGCCTGCTCTTCCCCAACGTCTGTTGCATTCGCGCGTTTCGCTGTTCAACAAATTCATTGATAAGTTGTAAATACGATTCCGGTATTTTGACTGTCGCTGAGGAATCCCAACTGTATTTAAATCTTCTCACCCTGTTGAGCGCGGCAATTCCCTCTCGAGAAGCTTCAACGACGTTCACATGGTACGACAATTTGACAATCGAGGTCACATAGTTCACGAAGCGATCGATGTTTTCCTGCGTCTTTCGCATATGCCATTGATCAACTTTATCGGATTGGTAAACCAGATTGTCAGGCTGGAATCGGTGTATGCCGAGACTCTCAATGATGTCGTTGATTTCTGCCCAGAAAATATCGACAAACGAAGGCAACTCAAAAAGATAAGAAGATATTCCACATATACAGCAGAGCTCGTCGGAGATCTCCTTGCATTCGGCTAACAGTTTAACGTTGCCAAGGATGCGCGCCTGCGTACCGAGTCTGTCGGGATTTGCAGCCTCATAGCGCCACGTAGAATCATTGGGCGTGATTCCGTTCCTGCCGACGAGGTCGTTGCCGTTCCACCAAATTAAACCAAAGATGCGCGGGGTATCCCTTGCGGGATCCCTCATGTTGAGCAAGGCCCTCGCATTTACGCGAGCAACAGCAGCCTTGTACTCTGC